TAGTAGTTAAAAAGGAGATTAGTTGAATTTTTAAAAATAATTCAACTAATCTCCTTTTTAAACTCTTATATTCCTTTTATATAACTTTTACGTACGATTTCTGCTGCTTTTATATATACAATTAATTTTATAAAATATTAAAAAAGTTGTAGAATAAAAGAATAATTTGTTCATTTTTTTTTTTTTACTGTAGGCTATGTGTAAACTTACGGGGTGAGAGTGGAAACATCCTTGTATAACTGCTGCTTTTATATATACAATTAATCTTGTAAAATATTAAAAAAGCAGTAGAATAAAAGAATTATTTTTTCACTGAATCAAATTATCTTAATCGCAAAATGTTAGAAAGTAAGTATTACTCCGTTGCTGAATGTCGCAACATCTTAAACAAAATAAAAGCACTTTTTCAATTTTAAATATCAATATTAGAAGTTTGAATAAAAACATTGAAAGTTTGAAAATATTATTAAATGAACTTTAACTTTATAACATTGCATGTTGATAATGACAGTTATACATTAGGAGTTTTCATTGATCTGTCAAAAGCTTTTGATAACGTAAATCACAATACTCTAATAAAAAAACTTGAAAACTACGGAGTGAAAAATAAAAACTTACTTTGGTTCAAGGGGTATCTGACAAACCGAAAGCAATTTTTATATTATGATCAAAATAACACAACTCCATAATCCATAACTTGCGGGGTTCCTCAGCGCTCAATTTTAGGACCCTTATTTCTATTGTACATAAATGACTTATACCTAGCAACAAATCTTTTAGACCTAATTTTGTTTGCTGATGATTCCAATCTTTTTTATTCTCACAGAGATATTAAAACACTTTTTAAAATAGTTAATAAACAGTTATGTTAGTTTGATGAATGATTCGTAAGTAACAAACTTTCATTAAATGTGGATAAAACAAAATATATACTTTTCCATAAAGTAAATAAATAGGAAAACATTCCTCTAAAATGACCAAATCTTATAATTAATTATACTTATATTAAAAGGGAAACAAACGTAAACTTTTTAGGAGTAAAACTCGATGAAAATTTACTGTGGTATTCACATATAAATAGTATTGAAACAACACCCTCAAAAATTATTGCAATGATGTTTAAGGCTAAACCTTTTTTAAATGTAGCATCCCTAAAAAAATTATATTTTGCCTTTATTCACAGTTATTTATCTTACTGTAATATTGTGTGGGCTAGTACTGGCTTTACAAAACTTATGAAAATCTACAACAAACAAAAACATGCATGCAGAATAGTGTTTGGAGCCTACAGAAATACTCCTTGCAAACCACTTTTACGTACACTCGGTGCTTTAAATGTGTATAAACTCAATTTACACCAAGTTTTATTGTTTATGTTTAAAATAAAAATGGGATTGTCTCCAATAATTTTTCAAACCTATTTTAATAAAATTAATCATAAATATTCAACAAAGTTTTCTGATAACAACTTTGCTCTTCTCAAGTATAATTTAAAATTAACCTCCTAATCAATTAAATATCGCGGACCTTATCTGTGGAAAAAATTCCCTGATATTGTCAACAAAAACAAGACTACATTGGAGCAATTTAAAAATGAATAAAAATAATTATTACTATTCATCTAAGGGATCTTAATTTATCTGACTTTAAATGTTTATTTTAAAGTTTAATCAAACAAAAACAAATTTATTTATATAAATATAAATATTTGATATTGATTGATATAAATATAAATATTTATATCAATGAAATTTAAGTAATGACGTTAAAATTCATCTTGTGATAATGTTAATTTTAAAATTTTATTTTTTTATTTAAAACTTTTTGTTTAAATGATTTTTAAATATTTTAGCGGTTGTTAGCATTTCAACACTTCTTAATTATTTGCTATTTTGAATTTCTTAATTTTCTCAGTTATTTTCTGTTTTAATTCTGATCTATATTTTATATATTTGTATTATATATATTTGTATGTTACGGTTATGTAGAGTTTTTTTTATATAGAGTTTTTTTTTATATGTGGGACTCGGCGATAAGCCAAACTGTGCCTTTTTCTTGCTCCTGCCATTAATTTATATAAGTTAATGGCAGGAGAATTTAGATCTTATTTATTTATGAATAAATAAATATATAAGATCTAAAGAACATCATTTTGGAGTCTTTAGATCACTTTTGCTCATCGGCATTAAGATGAACTTAGTTAAAATCTTTTGAAAAAGTCCCTAAATCCACTATAGATCCTTTTTTAATTGTCAAAGTACAATATTTCTATCAATTTTCACAAAAAATACGAGAATTTCGACTAAAAAAGAGCTAATAATTTGCCTATAAACGATCAGAACAGATCATATTATTAAACTATAATGTTCATTTCACCTAAACAACGTATTCATTTGAAATGTTATTCAAATTCAGACAAGCGATTGTGATTTTAAAAAGATTTAAAAAAAAAAAAAAAAAAAAAGAGTCTTCGGTCTGGGTTTTTTCGCTACAAAAGTTTATTCTTTATGATACCGCAAAATCTATCATTTTGACTTTTTTCGTCTTTTCGTAATTCACGGGCTTGATCATTTTAACGGAAATATGTCGTAGTCAACAAAATATCATTCAGACGCTATTATATTTTAAAATTGCCTTAAATACACCGAGTACGAGCAGTGTAAGGTTTTGGCGACGATTATTTTGTTTACATATCATTCCCAAAAATGGCTTGTAATTTTTGGAACAGATTTTAGATTTCGTAATTATTCGTTAACTTTTGTATGATAAAAAAAAGGAATTTGAATACCAAAATGTTTAATGAGCGGAAACGGGGCAAATGAAGTTACGCATTGTTTCTGATGGGTTATTAAAATCCCCTAATACCAAAAGAATAACACATATAGCGCAGCCGCAGTGGTTAGAGCGCTTACTTTATAAGCAGGAGATCCAGGTTCGAAACGAGCCTTAGACATATTTTCGCTTCTGTGACAAAACCGTGCTCTGTGACAAAACCGTTTGGTCATCTTGGGGCACCTAAAAAACAATTTAAAAAAATAAATATTGAAAATAAGGTTTTTCTTCGTTGAAATTAACTATTACTTAACACCGAAGCACCAATCAGGTATTATCAGCTATCAAGATATTATTAGTTTCCTCGACATGGGGACGTAGAGGAAGGTTTTATTTAAAAAGTGAAAACTCATACAATTATTATTTTTAATAATCCGTTGAACCTATTGTTTACAATTTTTCTCGAGTTGCAGCAAGAAGTGTCTTTTTCCTGTCTAACATTCGTTTGAGAGAGCTGTATTTTTCCCAACAGATAAAGCTTTTTCATTAAAAATTTTTAAACTTGTAATTCAATAATAATTGACCTTTATTGGGTTGTAAATATAGGTAGCAATTTCTTCTTTTGCTTTTTTTTTGTAATACGAGTTCTAACAGAATTTCGGTAGATAATAAAGCTGTTTATATTACTACTTTTTATAAAACGGGTTGTGCTTTAAAAAGACCATTCACATACAGAACTAAATGTTAATGCTTACTCGTAACACTATCATTTTTTCAAAGTTGTTGTTGGTTAGTCTGCTGTGCAAACAAAAAAGATTTATATAAGTGCATAGTCTTCATTATATTACTTAAATGTTTATTAAAGTGATGAGGATTGGTACATTGAAGTGTTGTACTAATTTGAAATATGTTCATAATTAAGCCGTTTAAGTATGTTCCTAAGTTAAAAGTTTAACAATTTTTTTTTTCATACCTTATACTTTTATTCGCTTTTTTGTTTATTTGTAATTTAAAATGGTTTTAAAAATTGAATAGTTTTTTTTTCTAAACATTTAACTTTTTATCACTTTTTTGTTTTAGTGGTAAACTAGTCTTTCTAAAATTTTGCCTTTATTATTTTGCCTTTATCTAAATTTGATTTTTAGAAAGATGGTGGGGGTGGGGGTGGGAAAGAGTTAGTAATAATGGAAAATATTGACGTAATTTTATAGGAGGGTCTCTGGATGTTTGACAAGTTATTGATAAGTATTGATAAATTGTTAAAAAATTGTTGACGTAATTAGTGGACAGCCGCCTATGTGTTTATTACAGAAAATGTTAAAATAAATTAGAAGGAACCAGAGAAACTTAAGTTTTTACAAAAGTTATTTTACAAATATTACACGGATGATGATGACATTTCACTGATGAAGATGACAAAAATTAAAACTGGTAAAACAATATGTACTTAAAAAAAAAATCTTTGCATTAGTAGCTTAGTAGTTAAAATTTCATTTTCAGAATAAAAACTCGTATAAACACAATCAAGGCGTAAAAATACGTTGATTTCACGGGCTATTTTATTCGAGTTTAAATCGTGTTTTATGAGGTTTTAAAGTCAAATTTAAATTTTCCTTGTTTCTATTGATGGTTTTACATTCGGAAACATGGTATGATATTCTGTTACGTTTCCATAACAGCAAAACTATTAATATCCTTCGGTAAACTGTAATTTCATGAAATTAAAACCCTATTCTTGACATATTCTTTTTGTTATGGAGCATTTTAAACACGCAACTGAATCGTAACTTTGTTCAGAAATGTATCAGCTGCAAGCTTGGCACATTTGGAAATATTTTTTGTTAATTCTATTTTTAATAATACTATTTTTTATCATATTTTTTTTTCCAGATAAATCCATCACCCAGCTGTATTTAGTCTAAAAATTAATTTTTTTTAATTTTATTTACAATATTTTTGGTTTTCGTTAAATTTCGTAACTTTCGTCTTGAATTTTTTAAAAATCGTTGTTTTAATAGTTTTCTAGTTTAAGAAGTTTTGTTTTTTAAGATTCGTGTGTTTTTCAAAAATATTCAGGAATACTTTATTTAAGCTCTATTTACAGTAAGTATCCGGACGTTTTGTAATTGTCTTAAAGTTTAACAAAGCTTAATAATTAGGTTTAGGAAATGTTTTATTTGATTAATCGTCAAGTATGACGTGTTTAAAACTTTAAAATTTTTATAAAGTTACAGATGAACGCATTGCGGGCGTGTGCAAACAATTTCAAAAACAAAATCAGCAGAAGAAATAAGTATACACGACCAACCTAGAAATAATATAATGTGGCTCAAATTTTTACTCTGTTTCTTTGCTGTTGTTTATACCATCGAAAATGTAAACAATTTATTTAGAAATGAAGGATTTGAAAGAACTGCATTACTTGACAGTTTGAAACAAGTATCATCTAAAGAAGATATCCAAATCATTATGACTAAACTCCATTTTAGAAATTGTAGCAAAAACCAGTCGTACATTTCATGCAACTTGGTAAGTTAAAACCGAAAGTAAAAAACTTTGTAAAAACTATATTAAAATAGGCTTAAAAGATATATTTCAGAAATATTTTATTTTTAGTGTTTCACATCTGATGATCTTCTGTCGCTATTTAATATAAGTTCACAAAATAGTTTTAATTCTGATGAAAGTCTTATGATATATAGTGGCATTCTTTATTTATTAACGGCAAAAAATATTGGTGTCGAGTGCAAAACATATTTAAACATATCTTCCGTTTATAAAGAGTTCTTTAGGAAATATGACTTTTCAATTATTGGTGACAGAGTCGTTGATAAAATCATGAGCGATGTTAACGTAACGTTAGGAAATTACTTAAACGGCAGTCAGGTAATTTTTTATTTTAAAATTTGTTAATATTTAAGTTTTATATATATATATAACAAAATTTATTTATTTTATATCTACATAAGGTGTTTAACGACGAACAGTTTTAATTATAAATTTAAAAATAATTTATTCCCTTCCTTAAAACTTTGAAACTTTTTTTTTTTAAAAAACAACCATTAATTTCAACTAGATAAAAAAACATTAATAAATATATTAATTATAAATATATATAATAAAACATTATATAACTAAATTTGTAGTTTATTATTTGGTATATATTTATATTAAATTCTCAACATAACCTTTGAAAGATCTTTTGAAAAAATTGACAACCATAAGGTCTTGTTGTCAAAAAATGCATTGTTATGTTTTATAATTTTTACATGATATTTACATGCTACATAATATCTAATTGTAATAACTATTTATGCATATATATATATATATATATATATATATATATATATATATATATATATATATATATATATATATATATATATATATATATATATATATATACGCATAAATAGTTAAATATAATAAATAATTTTAATACAGATGCAGAATTATAACTTCACCTGTGTAGAAAACTTAAAACTATCTTTGATCAAAATCTATTTGTAGATCATTTTTTGAAATAAACAAAATAATTTACATGAATCTATTTGTACTTTAATTAACTCAAATTATAAAACCGTTTAAAACCGTGGTGCGTAATTATAACCTCGTTATCTAAAGTGCATCAAAAGCCATCAAAAAATAGTAGTAAATTCATTTTTTTAAATTAAATTTATTATATTTTCAAATTACAAAATACATTCTAACGAATACCAAGAGGAACTATACTCTCTGATAAAGAATTGCTTGCAAATTGAAACACTCACCACGTTTGATCAATACCCTAGTAGCAAACAATATTGGCGCAATATTGGGGCGATATTATCTACAATATTGGCGCAATATTGTAAACTATATCGGGCCAATGTTGCAATGTAAACATTTTGCCAATATTGGCGCTACATTATTGCGCCAATATTGTAAAGTCAATATTGGCGATACAATATTGCACCAATGCTGTAAAGTCAATATTGGCAAAATGTTTACACTGCAACATTGGCCCAATATAGTTTATAACATTGCACCAATATTGTAAATAACATCGCGCAAATAATGGGGATATTATATTGGCCAACATTGGCCTAATATAGTTTACAATATTATCCTGAGATATATAATATATAACTAAATTAAGGCAATATATTGAGTATTTTCGATTAAATTTTTATTATTAAAAAATAATAAAAAATATTGCATTCTACAAATTTGTAATAATTAAAATTAGTAACATTTTTCTTGTTTAAGTGATACTATAGTACTAGGCTGCATTATTCTTTTGAGTTAAACAGGTTATAGTCTAGGAGGTGACAATAATCATAGAACACGCTTTAAGAAAAAAAAATTCGAAATCATTAAATTTATTTAAAGTTATATGAAACAGATACAAATGAAAAAAAGAGGTATAGAGTTTTCCAAAACCAAAATATAACAAAATAAAATCAATGTTATTTAAATACACGTACAAAAAACTACTGTATTATACTCTCACTATGAGATGTGGGCATCGACTTTCATTATATTGGCGATACTTATTTACCCTACAGATGTCATTGCTCAATATTGGGCGTTGCTCAGTTACGGTTCTATTTTTCTTCCGTAATCTTTATTAATGACTGTCGCCAGAAAACTGCCAATTTTTTCTTTAATACTTTTGTCAGTAGCGATTTCGAAATGAACGAATACAAACGAAAAACGACTAGACGCAACTCTACAAAATGTTTTTTAAATATCATCACAATATAATTTTGAAATATATAACTTTTAACGTATAAATATTGTAAAGTAATTAGCTTTTATTAAAATATTTATTTATTAAAAGAAAATGGGATGTAGAATACAAATATTGTGCTTTACCTATAACGACCTTGCAGGAGGTTTTTGTTTCATTCCATACACTGAGTATGAAAAACATACTTCTTTGGCCATTAGCTGTATTAAGATTGCTGCTGTAAGTTGTTTCTCATCTCCTGCAACCGAAGTAAGAAAGTTCATCTAAAATAAGAAAACAAATGTAATATAATTGTTGTATTAAATGTAATATAATTGTTTGTATGTTTCATATAAATGTATCAGATATTTTAAAAACTAGAAACTTTAATAGTACATGGTACTGTTTCCAAAAACTATTATCTAATATCAATTCACTGATATATACTATTGATTCATAAGGTGTCTTTGTTCCATAATTTTTCTTTGAGGTTTCGAAGATCTTTTTTCATTTATAACCGGCAAATAAATTCAATAAATCGAAAGAGATAGTCAAGCAAAGCTTTGATGGAATCACTTAACCCTAAAACACTAAAGATTTCTTCAATCTTTGAGAAACTGAGAGACAATCTCATCAGTGTCACTTTTTTTGTAACCTGCATCCTTTTAAGCTGGAGGCACAGATAATTCCATTCTAAAGCAGTCTCATAACTGTCAAAAAAAAGTATAAAGAAGTAATGAAACCATACTAAACAATCAACATTTACTATATTTGAGTCAAACATAGCTGTTTAGATAAAAAACAAAGACAATACTGTAAATAAAACAAAAACAATATTGTAAATAAGACAATTACCAAAACATTCTTATTTTCAGCTGCTTTCAGTTACTTTTAAAAGCGCGACTTTACGCAAGGCAGTTTAAAGGCAAGATGCTTGCAAGTGATTTGGCCAATACACCAAACTTTTATTGATACGCCATGAAAAACAGATTACATTCATGGCACACATATTGTTATTTCATTGAAAAATTCAGCCAGACCAAATTTTGTAAACTTTATTACCACCTTCAGTTTAACGGTACGTCAGCTAAAAAATAGTCACAATTAAATATATATATATATATATATATATATATATATATATATATATATATATATATATATATATATATATATATATATATATATATATATATATATATATATATATATATATATATATATATATATATATATATATATATATATATATATTATTGACCTTCACACACACATATGCACACACACGCACACACAAATTTATTACAAGATAATAATTTTGCAATAAAAAAGTTTTTTTTATAATATCTTTTATTTTATATAGCATTTTATTTTATGCAATAGTTTAATGCAATGTTGTAGGTAATAAACAAATCAATAAGTTAAACTAGATCTGCTACATCATGTTATGTTAAGAGTAGTTAAACAAGATTAAAGTAAAATTCACAAAATAATTAATGCTGAAAATAGTGAAAATTATATAAATGCGACTTTGAAAATGCAATAAGCTTTAGTGAGGATTCATGTTGGACATTAGCCTTGGAGAATAAAACTGATATAGAAAATTTATATCAGATATATTGAAATCTTCCAACACATTTCACAACTCCTACTTCTAAAATTAAAAGCTTATAGAATAAATGACTAACTCTACAATTGGATTTTAATGTTACCTAGAGATCGGCATTAGAGTATCATTGTTGGTGGTACATACTCAGAATGGATTATTCTCCAAGGCTAATGTCCAACATGAATCCTCACTAAAGCTTATTGCATTTTCAAAGTCGCATTTATATAATTTTCACTATTTTCAGCATTAATTATTGTGTGAAATAAATTTGTGTGTGCGTGTGTGTGCATATGTGTGTGTGAAGGTCAATAATATATATATATATATATATATATATATATATATATATATATATATATATATATATATATATATATATATATATATATATATATATATATATATATATATATATATATACACTCTTGCATGTCTCTTGCATGGCATCAAAAAAAGTTTCCCATAAACTGTAGTTTTAAAGAGCGGGTTAATAAACCAGACCAGAAAAAGTTTGAAAAATTAAATTTTTTTTTTTAATTGATAGACTGCCTGGCCAAACCAAACCCTCAGTCGATGTAGCATCACTCTCTTGCGAGTCAGGCTATTTGTCAGTCGTTGTAGCAGCACTCCCTTGCGAGTCAGGCTATTTGTCAGTCGATGTAGCAGCATTCCCTTGCGAGTCAGGCTATTTGTCAGTCGATGTAGCAGCACTCCGTTGCGAGTCAGGCTATTTGTCAGTCGATGTAGCAGCACTCCGTTGCGAGTCAGGCTATAAGATAGTCGATGTAGCAACATTTACGCATGTTTTAAAAATGTTTTTTATTAAATCAATAACAAAAACACCACTAATTAAAAAAAACTTTCTAGTCATTATAATTGCGGTTTTTTAAAAATTTTTAAAAAAACAATTAAATTTAATGTACTTCCGCATAAATTAATTGCTTTGACATTTCGATGACAATCAAAAACAGCTGAAGAGACGAGGTAATTAAAATTGTAGTCGTAAGAGACTTTTTTTACATTAAAACGCTCTTTCGACTACACTATATGGGTATATATATATATATATATATATATATATATATATATATATATATATATATATATATATATATATATATATATATATATATATATATATATATATATATATTATTGATGTTATTATGTGTCAAGCAGGGGTACCTTTTTTGTAAATTAAAATCTTATAAAAGTTAGAAACAATAATAATGATGTTTTTATTTTTATAAACGAATATCTTTAACAAAATAAATAGACTGTAAAACTTATATTTTATAGATAAAATCTTCTCGAAGTGTTTGCAATTAAAAATTAACTTACTATTTTAATCTTGATACTTAAGTATAGCATTATTTTTCCTATTCTTCTCGTGATGCGATATGCTTTAAATTAATTACAACCATATCTTCTCGTAATTCAATTCGTAATGTTGAATAAAAGAATTTTATTACTCTTACCACTTCATCTCGTGATACTATCTGTTTCAAAATAAATTACCAACACTTCTTCTTCTGATTCACTCTGTAAATGTTGAATTAAAAATACTTATCCTACTTCTTCTCTTTTCATAAATTAAATTTTTTATTTTGAACTCTTATTTGTTTTTATAAAAAAACTAATAACATAAGGATGCCTGTTTATGTAAAAAGATGTTATTATTTACATTTAAACACATTTAACAAAACTAAAGGACATAATGAATATTCCTTAATATTACGCATGCGTACGAATATGTAAAATTTAATATAAAGCCCATATTGGCAAACAATATTTCGCCAATATTGGCATAACAATATCAGTAAATCAATATTGGCGCAATATTTCGCCAATATTGGCATAAAAATATCAGTAAAACGATAATGGATATAGTCTGGTCGCTACATGTAAAAAAAAAAAAAAGAAAACTAAACATTTTGAGTGGACATTCTAATTTTTATATAGACTTGTTCCTTATAACTTGAGAAAGTGCTTATAATTTAAGTTAGAGACAAAAATTGATGCAGATTATTGAAAAGATTTTAAGTATAATTTATCCGCCATGTTGTTTATAAATCCAATACCGCAAAGCATTAACTTAGTTTTATCAAATTATTGACAGGCAAATAATTATTTGTAAAATTAGCTTTTTTAAATACAATTACATAAATCTATATAATTAAAATTTCATAAACCTTATTTAGAAAAAAAAAATTTATAATTTTTTTTTTAATATTGTATAAAAGATATGAAATAATTTCAATTTAATAAATCTAATAAATAAACAAAGTTCCCGTTCTTTGTTTACGTTAAAAAATGTTTACTTTTCAAAAACTGTTTGCTTTTTTTAATGTTATCAAAGTTCTTTTTAAAATTAAAGAATTACCGTCATAAATGAAAAAAAGAAATCAAAGTCGTTTTTATAAATAAAACAAAATATTTGCATAACAAACTGAAATCAATTTAAAAGAAAACGGTTGTTGCAAAAATATAAAACATAAAACTAAAAAAACGTGTTTTATTTTTATTTATTTATTATTATTAAACTTAACAATGGCGAGAAGCCAAAAAATGCAGCTTTTAATCTGGTTCCTAAAAAATTAATTAAAAATGCTTGTATACTTCATTAAGGTGAAGTTGCTCGTAATAATAACAAACTGCGTGGTTTTACTGAAAATGCGCTTGCGAAAGTGACTCGTGCATTGCGACTTACAAACCAAGCATTGTGACTTACAATGCTTGGTAACTCACAAACTAAATGGACAACTCAATTTATTTTTTTATATACGCTTTAAACGATGGTATGGAAAAAACAATAAATAGCGTAAATTTGATGATAATATATTTTTTTTACTATCGTCAAATTCGAAATGACTTTAAAATCATAAACATTCTAGATGAAATTCAGGTCCCGTATCCAGCATTATTTGGTCTTCGAGATATCTAACTTTCTGACATGGAGCAAACTCCAAACATTTATATGTTTATACTTATGTCAAATAAGGATGCTTTGCAAAAAATTGCGATGATTGGAGCTTGGGAACAAAAAGCCCAAAAATTTGTGCTTTCCTGCCCCAAACGTGCGAGCAACAAGTTGATGAAATATTTTTGTACTATTTTTAACTAGACTTATATTTATCGATAAATTATAAATTTCATAGTAAAATATTTCAGCGTTCAAAAATTATAATAATATAAAGTTTGCGACCCCCTAAAACTGAGGGGGGTTTAAACTTTATATGGTCAAAGACCATAAAAAGTTTAAACCCCTATCTCGAAGACCAAATAATGCTAGATACGGACCTGCTGATACGTGCCCAACAACTTTCTTGTTTCATCAAAAAAGTTACGATCAGAATGTAAATATAAAAAACATTAAACATTTTATAACATCGAAAAAATAGAGCAGAAAAAGTCAACGAGAGTGTAGGCGTGGATAATGCATCCTCATTTAAGCGCAGAATCTCAGATCGGAAAAGAGATAGATCAAGTAAATTAAAAAACCCTTGAGTATGAAATGCAAAGCAAAGAATATTGCCCTCAGTTTTCACATTTTTTTTTTATGTTTTATATACTACTTAAAAATTAAAATAATTGCTTTGTTTCAGGAAAAATTATTGCGGATCAAAAGTGTTGCATTTGCTATTGCAAAAAGACTAATAAATATAAGAACGTATAAAATAAATATAAGAACTAATAGATATAAGAACGGATATAAAGCTAAGATTCTGGAAAAAAGGACTTTAATGAATGCTGTAGTTGCAGATCTTGCGGGTTTGTTCAGTTGCGGTCACCAAAATAAGGTATTCTTTCTTATGCAACAATACCATTGAGAAGGGGAAAATCGTTGAAGTTTTTTTAAAAAAGATTGAGAATTTAGAAAAAAGGAATAATCCAAAACCGATTGAACAGCTTATCCATCATGTCGCACAAGAGATTCGCAGCGAGGTTTTGTCTTTAAAAAAAACATACTTTAAACTGCCTATATATTATATATCTATTGGTTTCGAAACCGTTTGCATTCACACGGTTGACACAGATATTGCTATTTACGCTTTGTACTTTCAAAACCAACTTCAAATAGAATTATTTGTGGATATTGGCGTCTCTACTGAAAGACGGACTCTTGATATAAATCTTATTGCCTCACAGTTAGGTACTGATTGTTGTAATGCTCTTCTTGCTCTTCATTCATTTAGCGGGAACAGTTATACAAATGCATTTTACATGATTGGTAAGTCAAAGTTTCTCAAACTAATAAGACAGTCTGAAGAGTACAAGTCAATTTTTTCAAGGTTGGGGACTTTTATTCCTTTGATGTAACCCATTTTGACCAAATCGAAAAGTTTATATGTCAATTATAGAAATTATAATGCAGTGATACGAACGAAGGAAGATACCTTAAGTTTATTGCCAAGAAAGAAGCTACGGAACCTAAAAAGTTTCTGCCAACCAGGGATGCTCTTATGTGTCATTGCAAGAGAGTTTCGTATCAAATAGCAATTGTCAAAAAATCATTGGAGGCAAATCTCAATATTCCAAAACCCAACGGATATGGAAGGCGAGAAATTGGCAATCAACTTAAGATTAAACTGATGCTCAATTGGGTGTCGTCCCAAATGATTGGGACGACACCTAAACAAAATATTATTCAACTGATTCGAATTTTCCCTTTTAATAATCTGTTCACAAAATTTTTTTCGCGAAATTTAAAAAAAATTATTAGCGTGACGTCATGAGTACCAAACAAGGGCCCGAATTTGACCCTTTAAGCACTATTAGAATTGCTCGTAAGTTTTTCTCAAGATTTTATTATTTATTATAAGGCTTTGTCAAGAGATTATCTAACATTTGACGTAAATATATATTTTTTATTGTGATAAAAAAAGTACATCAGTGTGACGTCATCAGTACCAAATAATGCCCCAAATTTGACTCTTTAAGCACTTTCAGAAAGATAAGTAAGTTTTTTTCAATATTTTGTTATTTATTATAAGGTTTTGTCTAACTTTTGATGAGAATTTATCAAAATTTTATTTAACTTTTGACGAAAATATGTTTTATTTAGTTTGATTTTTCGGAAAAATGTCAAAATGACGTCATCAGTACCAAATAAGGGCCCAAATGTGACCCTTTAAGCACTTTCAGAAAGGCACGTAAATTTTTTCCCATTCAAGATATCAATGTTAAACTATTTAAGTAGTTTTTGTAATGTCCACTTCATTTCCAAGAAAAAGTTACACGTAGCGTCAAGACTAATAATATTGGCGCAATATTGCTTGCCAATATTGGTAAGACAATATTGGCGTAATATTGCTTGACAATATTGGCGCAATATCGGATATCTTGGCCAAACTTACATACTTACAGCTCGACTAACAGCGACGAATTGTGCATGCCGCTAGTAACCGTACAATCTCTGCGAGACAAATAGGCGCTGATTTGGGATTGAAATGCTCAAGATGGACGGTAAATCCTGTAATTAAAAAGTCAGGCTTTCTTAGATATGCAAAAAAAACGCACATCTCCAGCACTAACTGAAGCGCACAAACGCTTTTGTCTTCAATTGGCCAAAGACCACATGACTTGGGAAAAAGAATGGTAAAAAATTTTGTGGTCTCATGAAAAAAAATTCAATCTTGATGGTCCAGATGGCTTTACTTACTACTAACATGACATTAAAAAGAAAAAATATTTTCAAAATACAGGGCTATGGAAGGAGAAGTAATGATTTGGGGTGCGTTCAGTCGTTTTTGAAAAAACTTTGATTGCCTTTAATACTACTATATTAAATGCTGAGAAATATAGAGATTTGTTGAATGATCATTTGAATGGTATTTTGTGAAAATCTGGTAACACCAATTTTACTTTCCAGCAAGACAACGCTCCAATTCATAGAGCAAAGTCAAATATCTCATGGTTTACCAGCAAGAAAATTCAATTATTAGAATGGCAAACGCTCTCACTTGATTTAATTCCCATTGAAAACGTATGGGGCATCTTAGGAAGACGTGTTTATGCAGAAAGAAAACAATATTCGAATGTCGATGAATTAAAAAAAGCATTTATTCACGTTTGGAAAAACATATCTCTTGCAGATCTTAGAAAACATTTGGAAAGTTTGCCAAATCGAATATTTGAAGTTATTTAAAATGGCGGCAATAAAACAAAGTCTACAAAGCTATAGCTGGTTGATAGCTAAATATCAAAATTTTTGAGACAGCGAATTTATTACGATATGATGCTAGCTACAATAACCAATGGGTCTTTAGCTTATCAAGCTAGCTGTCCTCGTAGCCAAATCGCTGTCTTTATTTTTACAAATGCCGATAGCTTTTCGCTAACTTACAAAAGCTAGCAATCCTCACGGCCAAATTGCTGTCTTTATCGTTACGATTATAGTTAGCTATTCGCTAGCCTATTTCCCACTGGGTATATATATATATATATATATATATATATATATATATATATATATATATATATATATATATATATATATATATATATATATATATATCTATATATATATATATATATATCTATATCTATATATATATATATCTATATCTATATATATATATATATATATATATATATATATATATATATATATATATATATATATATATATATATATAGATATATATATATATAGATATAGATATATATATATATATATATATATATATATATATA